TCTTTATTGGTGCACTTCTTATGGCCATTGTAGAACTTTAATTTAGTTTAAAAAAAAAAAAAAAAAAAGCGAATACTGTTACTGATGGATATTAAGCAGGGAAATAAGTCCTTCCTTTTATTATCTCTTACAGATGACCCTCGCTTTTTCAATGAGGTGAGACACTGTTAGGATTTCAAGTGTTTGAATGGCAAGGCCTGGAAAGATGTTCTTTGAATAAACCTAGTTCTTCCATTTGGAAAGATTCTTCCTTTTTGGCCTAATACGATTCCTGAAATCGTTATCTGAGTCCTCACTTATTTTTTATAAAAATGTATACCAACATCTAAATATTATTTCATAAAAATCAATGAAAATGTTTATTGTGGAATTTTTAGAGTGAGAAAGAAGAGAAAATGAGGTCTAGAGATTGTAAGTCTCCCTGTGTGTATTTCTTAAGGCTTTCTTGAGGCCTCAGTTTTGGCATCTAGGGAGCTGGAATGTAAGTTTACGTGGCTGAGTAAATCAGTGTAATTTGGAACACTGAATTCTTCTCAGTGTTTTGGTACGAATCTCAGAATTTTGATGTATTAATAAGAAATAATTAATGGCTATTCCCTGCCTACATCCCTTAAGAAAAGCTTCCTTCTCTGAATGCTTCTGCATGTACGTTTTGCCAATTTTTATCATTATTATTTTTATTATTTTTACTCTTTCAGCTTTTCGGAACTTTTAAAGGAATGCCTCTCTAGATTCATTATGCTGGAAATAGTGGCAGCTGGAGGTTTCTCAGTGAAGTTTCCTATTGTTGTCAATTGACCTTAAGAGCATCTCATTCCATTATTTAAATATACATGATGGTTCACTATATATTTATAGTCGCTGCCAAATCCAGTGTTTTTAATTTTGAAACCACTAATAATGGGCTCCTGAAATCTTCCTGGGAGCAGGAAGTCCGTTTAATAATGAATACAAAGTCTACTATACTTGCTTTAATTCCTCCTGCTCATTATTTATTAACAATCACCACAGTGGTCAGCCTCTAAGAACTGCAAACAAACATTGTCACTCCAATTCTAAGACACTTAAGGAAGTATCAGCATCACAAGTGCCCTGATGGACAGCTTGGGGTCTCGTCCTAAAAGACAGACCACCCAACACCAAAAGATGTAGTAAGGCCTATCTGCCATGTTGCCTGTAACTTTTCCGATCTTTCTGACCAGGCATTACTGGTATGTGCTCTGCTCTGAATTCTGATTAGTGATGGCAGATTTTGAAGATGGTACATCCAGAAATGCTGATGAACTGCAAATAAATCTACTCATGCTGCACAACTACACAGTGACCTCATATTTGTCATACGTTGTGCAATTATTTTTCTAATGACGTGATGTTTTAAAACCCATAGGTAATTCAATCTTTGTCAATGTTCCTATGTGATTCTAATTTCATGGTTATTTCTTACTTGATTTTACTGTCTCTCTTCTATTTCAGTTTGTTGCTGAAAATGAATTTTGAAACATATTGGTAAACCATATTTTTTTTAGTATTGCTTTCGACATGCAGAATCTGTTGAAGCTAAAAAAAAAATAGTAATTTATGGATTCAGTAAGCAGTGCTCACTTGTGACCTTTCTACACAAAGGCTGTCTGCTACAGAAGCCCTGTTAAAGACTTCTAGATGCCTAATACAGTCCCTCTGTGTGCTGGTAGTACAGCAGGTCAAGGAACTCCTTTTATTCAGTATTGAGATTCGCTTCATAGCGGCATTTCAAAAGGGCTGGAAGAGTTGGCCTGTAATACATACACTTTATAATTCCTAATTTCAGGTCATTCTAAGGAAATTAATTCCAAAATGTAAATAGAAAATTAAGGTTGTGTTTTAAACCAAGGCATCTTCAAAAAATGAAACATATGTATTAAAGCTGAATAGAAAAACAAAATTTTTGAAATATGTTGTTTTTTTCTTAATGAAGGAGGAACTTTATTTAAGAATGGAAATATCAAAGCTTTATTTTAAAGTCCTGAAAGTAGTTAAAACTTACAGTTTTTAAAATGTAAAGTGTAGCTAAAAATACATCTGCTATTGAAAAAAGAAATCCAAACTGTTAGATTTTTAAAATAGATATTTTCATTAAAAAATCTTTTTAATATTGGTATGAACATTTGCTATATTTACACCAAATTCCTGTAGGTAAAATTCTTATGAAGAGACCTTGAACTATTAAAATTATAATTGTCAAGCAGTCTTACTGAAAACTGTAGTAGTGCCCACAGAGTTGGAATACTGGCTCATTGTGAACGTGAAATAAATCTTAGTCATAAGCATATGCATACAGCGCTGTAAGGCATGGAGCACTTTGTCTCTGAGACACTTAAATACACGCTTACCTTAAATGCAGAGCAGGTGTGTAAGTGCTTTACTGGATCAGGGCCAGCACCTTACAAGCCTGACCTTTGGGAGCTGGGATCCCCTGCCCTTCCTCCTGGTGTGACGATGACCTTGCTTACATCAGAGCTGCGTGGAGAAGTTCCTCAGAAACACCGGCGTTCAGGTGCTGTCTGCAGCACAGAATATTTTTGTCTTCTTGGAGGGAGGAGGTGGAGTGTTTGAATTTAAAAGCAGGCTGTATACAAAGTGTTATGTAGCTCTTTACTGTGGATGATAGGATCCCACATCTTCCACTGGCCTTGCTCTTAAGTAGCTTGTTTATTCATGTTAGATCAAATTAACTATTCTCTGAACACTTACAGAAAAATTACAGGGAGTGTGTACTTTAATCACGATTTAATACAAATTAGGAAATACATAACATATTCCTGATATATATTTGGGATGATACTGAATACATAATGCATCCATCTTGCTCAGGTACGTACATACCTAACATAATTTAGGGGTCTGTTTTTCCAGTTCTTATTTCCAAAGTCTTTCCAATCTGGTGAAATCATGAACCAATAAGTGGACTTCTTAAACCGACATCTGAACACCAGGTCTCAGCAGAACTCACAGATACATGTTCCAGCTCTTGCAGTGTTGCATGATGTTCTCACAACCATCATCACACAAACTGCAAAAAAAGGGGAACAGAAATACTCAGACAGCATTCTGTTTCTGTCTAAATGGCTAGAATTTAGCTCACTTTTTCCATATTTTGTGGATTTTTGCATTTGTGTTTTGGACTTATGAGTTTTTTAAACGTATTTTTTTATTGGTGTGGGAAGCACACCTAAACATTAAATAGGGTTTATTCTACATAAATACGGTAAAAATGACTCAAGGCAACAAGGAAATCTCATCGTGCATTGTCTGATTGTTATTTATTGGTCTGGGGTCAACAGCAGGCATTACAGCTTTAAGAATTGGCTTCAGAAAAATATCTTCTAATTTCTGCAAATCATACTTTCAACCGTACACTGTGAAGATTGCAAGGCTTAAGACTAAACCAGAGGACTTGACAGTATATTATGCTGGGGAGCGACAATTTAAAAAAAAAAAAAAAAAAAAAAAGAGTTCCAAGTGTAAGTTTAAAAATGTAACTAAAAGCCTTCATCAAAGTTTAAAGAGCTTCTTGCGCTTTTAGCATTTGCTTATTCTGATTTATTGACAATGACACACCTAGCAACAGTCATTCTTGCTGAAGCAGTGAAGTAATGGACTTCAGGAGAAAAGGGGAAAAATAAGTAGGTGCTGCACACAGGAGAGAGGCCGCTGATTACAGACCACTAATTTGTTATGCACTCTGGCAAATCAGCAGTGATTCATATGACAAATAAGGAGAAAAAATTAACAGCTGTCATGTTGTGATGTGTTAATTTCCTGACAGTCTCTGCACTGAAGCCAATTACTGATTTAAGGGCAGGGAGAGAGAGCCCTGTTCAAGCTTCTAATTAGGCTTCTTCAAGACTAAAAGGATAAAAGCAAAAATAAGAGCAAGAGAATGAAGCAGGTAGCCACGGCTTCATAAAGCATACATGCTTTTAAATCCTCAGTTAAATAGCTTTAAGCTTAAGTGTGTTTAAGATAAGAATTTAGAAACATTTATTCACTTTTATCCATGACCCCATCTTTTAGTCTTTTGTGTAGTAATTGGGCGATACAGCAAGTCCAAGGGTCTGCGTTGCCCTCCTTCTGCAGCCATCCAGGTTCTTGGATGTAATCTGCTGGTAATACCTTTGGTTAACAATGTCAACACCTATTCATCAGAGTGCTTTAGATGCAACCAGAAAAGGAACATCAGGTTTACCAGCTCTTGTGCCCCTGAAATGGGTTCTTGCAACCTGGGGGAGGCAGAATTGCTATTTCAGCTTTTGGCTCTGTCTTCTGCCTTTCGTTATACAGTTCCTGCCCTCATGAGGGGTCCTAGTGAGGCTATGAGAACAAGAACTTATTGCCTACTTACTTAGGGAGCTGAGCTAATTCTGTAGGATATTGAGCACCTTCACTTTGAAGCTAATTGAAAATGAGAGCAATCAGTATCTAGTATGATGGAGTCCAGCACAAAGGAAGAGATACTGGAGATTCGTGCTATGGCTACCACATGTTTCTGCAAGGAGCTTGGCACAGTCACATAAGAAAAAGTATATTCCCCAGCTGTACCTAAAACAAGCAAATTAGCTGGAGGTGGGATTGAGCATTACAGTAAAGCACCTGATTTTGTAAGAAATATTTTTTTGTTAGTGCAACCCCCCCCCCCCCAAAAAAAATAAAAAATTATTAAAGTTAAGTTTCCTATCAAGCCACAATTTAAACGTACACTATAAAGCTAACAACTGACTAGAGAGCTTTTGCCTCTTTTCTGGCATTTATTCAGAAGTGATGCGTGATATAAAAATCAGGAATTAGTAACTAAAAAGGAAACATGGATTTGTTCCAAAAGGAAGGAGCAATTTCATCCACACAATATTATTGTTGTTTCATTTTCAGGTGGTCATATAGGGGCACTTTTACATGTTGCACGTGAACTTCTTGAGAACTTCCTTGTGTTTCCTAAAACATTAATTAGTTTAGTTACTCAAAATTAGAGTATAAATTTTGGAAAATTCACTTGGATTTTAAAGTGGGCAGCCATCTTTTACTTTTGCATTACAGCTTGTTTCATTTGGATTTAAAATACTGTTCCCACTTGCTTCAGGAATGACTAGAAAATAGATGGCAATTTGGAGCAATGTTAGAACCAATTGGTGGAGAAATTAACTTAAAACATGGGTATGATGTGTGTTCTAAATGTAATGATAACAAATGTAAAGAAACACGTACAAAGTCAGTGTAGTACGTAAGTCCTAGGAGAACAACCAGAAGACAAGAAACTGTCTTTACTGGGGGATTCAGCTTACAGTAATTTTAAATCTACTGACTGCAATTTTTTTTTGCCACCATTAGTAGGTAAGTCTAATTACTATTGTTTTTTGGTCTCTGAACAATTACATGGAGCAGATTTTCTGCTTTTTGTGTCTTTTAGGAATTTAGATATACAAATGAAGGTCATTAGTTTTTAACTTGCTGAAGGTTTCTGCCGTAGCAGAATAGATATTTATTTCTTAATAGTTAGTTTTAATTTCAGTGTATTTCATTGCAACTGATAATAGCTATGCTATCATAGGAGGCAGTAAGACCTTTCTGACATTGATTTTGCTTGCAACTTCATCCTTATACTTGATGGGATGTATAAAAGTAATTCAGTCTCCAGGCTTGCTCAGTCCTGATCTACTATCAATTCAATTGAAATATGTCTACATAGAGTGTATTATCTTTTTTTTTGGAAGGATAACTAAGTGAATTAAGCACATGCAATACTTATCTTATCACTGTCCAGGCAAACTTATACTTTATTGATTTATAGTGCCCTTCATAAGCGTAAAGGTGTTCTACACTATTTTATGCACATGGACTGCTTCAAGTACCTCTAAAATGCAGCCACTTCAGTCATTAATTTGCTTTCATACTTGATTGTGCCCATAGTCAACTGCTAGCTCAAAGCAGATTCTTTAAAAACCTTTTTCAAGATTCCTTACTACACTCTGTGCTATTCATAAGAGATCAAATCCTGGAGTTCTCACTAATGTACTGCTTGACTTTGGAAGCACTGCAAACCTATGCATAAACATGCTGGGTGTTGGTATTCCTGTGCTTCACTGCTTGTAGCCCTGCTCTGTGCCTCCTTCCTTGGTAGCATAGAATCACATAATCACCAAGATTGGAAAAGACCTCCAAGATCATTCAGTTCAAATGTAACATGTTGGCTTTTTCCTTGCTTGGTAATGTTGGACCGCAATGAGGGCAGTGGAGGGAAGGAGATGTGTATGAGAGCTGTCAGGTGAGCTGTACCCAGCAGGATCTCCAAGGGTGCAGTATGGGATAGGGGTTCCTGCATGTTCTTCCCGATTTCTTCCTGTAAGTGTAAGGGACAAATCTGGTTCTTGGGACATATTTAGTCTTCATCCCAGGAAATCTGTCACTGAAGACACTGGAGGTTTTGCCTGAGTAAGTATTGAGTAAAGACTGAAGGCTTTGGCCTAACATTTATATCAAATATAGCCTTCCCAAATTCATTAATTCCTGTTTTAAAATTATATTATCCATATCTCTTTTTACTGTCCCTGACCCCTTTTGCATACTCTCACTATTAGCACTCCCAGTCACAGATATCTGGAAATGCATTCTATCATCGATAATACATTCCACCTGGCTCATATTCATAACCCGCTCCAAGGTACCGGGATGGCGAGCATGGCCATGGGTTACTAAACACTGGATTTATAAAATGTGAAGAAAGAAATATGCTGCACTTAAAAGTATCAGAGCACATTTTGCAGTGCGCTTGATCTCTTGCACGTCGTCTTCTGCCACAGTCTGCATTAAAAGCAATTAATAATATCTACTCCTGTGTGAGGAGCACTGGTGGATTTTACCTATTCTATATATTTTACTTCTCATGTGATGATGAATAAATTAATCCTATTAATATTTAATTAACTTTAAGTTGAAAGGTGACATCTAACTTAACCAATTTACTGTTCTGTAGCTGGCTTAACTTTGGATCATGTGATTTTAATTCTTTCCGTATGACCAGGTGACTTAAAAAGAAAAAAAAGGAAATGCACAGATTAATTTCATTCTTTAACCTTCCTAATGCATCTGCTTGCTTGCATCGAGTCGCAGACAGCAGATCATCACATGATTTATAGTAGTGACCGCTGCCTGCATCTCTCAGGCTAATGACACATACACTAAAGTCATTGATTTGTATGAATAGCCTCCGCTCTTCATTTATCACAATTTAATGTAAGAGTTTGCAATGCAGAAAAAAATTTCACATGGGAAGCATGGCCCCACAGGCCTGACCGCTAAGCAGTTATGAATCATTTGCTGCCTTTTAATATATAGACTTTTCTATTCCTGAAAATGCCCTGTAAGGTCGTATTTCTTTACAGAACATCACTACAATTAAACCCCAAAAGCAGGTGTTTTAACACAAAGTACATATGAAGCATGACCAACTTAAACCTTTGTTAGCATTTTCTCTTTCTCATTTTTAATACACCATAAAAACCAAAGTTTATCATTGATGTAAGCAGGGACAATTCATTTAACTTCAGCAGAACTGTATCTGTTTTTGTTACTCCAAATTTGACCCATAAAGTTTATTGATTTGCCTTGGTAATGTGCAGAACTCAAGCAAGAATAGTGACCTAAGGTCAGAGAAGTGCTGTGATGAAGTAGGATTTGGCAAATTGTTTTTTCCTCAAATACATATATTTTTAAATCTCAAATGTAACTTATAAGAGAATGAATACTTTCTGAAATGGATTGCTTAGTACAATTTACGTGACCTGTATTTTCTTTTTAAATAAAAATTCATACATTGCTTTCAATAGGAAATGAATATTCCCATGTATGTTTCATATAGTAATTTTAAAGAGATGTGGCAGATCAAATATGGATTTAAAAAAAAACATTCCTATCTAATACTTCAAGGAATGCAATTCATAATGTTAATATAAATATTCTTGAGCCCTTTTGTTCTAAATGATAAGTAAGAATAAAGAAATAGTTATTCCTTATTAGTGAGTAAAAAAAACAGGGAGGGCAAAGCATTGATTTCTGATGTATTTATCATGGAATGATATATAACCAAAATACTACAAGTCTGTTTTCGGAGTCTTAGGTAGGAGAAATGATACTAGTAATAATCAAGTATACTATGTGAAACTTAGAAAATAAAATATGCTTTCTTAATATCTTATGCTAGCCTTTCAATACTGTATAATCAGTGTTAGATGAAAAAGATGTTAGAATGTTATGTCTTTCTGAGAACAACTATCTGTACAGAAACTGCACGTCTAACTGTGGGTTGTCAGGGTGTTGCATTTTTGTGTCTGTGTAATTTTTGTTTGTTTCCTTTTAAATATGAGATAAAAATCACATGTCAGTATTTGGAAGTTCTTCTCTATGCACTATTGCTGCTCACGTATCACTGCTTTAGTTAGTGAAGTAGTGTTTGTTGTTGCAGAAATGGGTACTGAAAAAGAAAACGATACCTATTCTGGAAAACACAAATGTTATTTTCCATTGTTTGTAGCATGGGGCACAGGACCATTATATTTCAGAAATAAGACAGAGTTCAGATGACATATATTCTTTTTTCTCAGGTGAGAAATCATTAAATGAAGGGAAAATGTGCTACATGGCCACACAAGGGAGCCAGGTATCCCAGTCATTTTAAACTTTAGCCTTTGTTTCATCAACATCAAATATTATTAAATACAAAAGTGGCAATATTTTTAGATGTGAAGAAAAAGTGTGACAAAGTTTCTACTGTATGAGCCACTGACATTGTCAAATTATTTACCCTTAAAAATGCTTTTTGTAGGCAAATGCATTACAGAGACTGAAAGTTATGCAATTTCTGAACTTTTCTTGCATCGCTTGGCTGGGACCATGTGTTAGAATAGCAGCACTTAAAATGAAAAAGAGGATTTGTAATGATCGCTCTGAAGTTTTACATTTTATCTGTAGATCTTTTTGTATGTTTAATCGCTTCTTTTTTGGCTTATTGGTAGCATAGCATGCGGTGAAATGCAGGAAGAAACCAAGTAAAAATGGATATAAAAGAACTTGGGCTACTAATAAAGCAGGTAAGCATAGTGACACTGACTTGTGTCTCCTAAAGTCAGGACATTTTTTGCAGAGATCAGTTGTTGTTGAATAAAAACTCATAATGGTGAACACCTTTTAGGTGGATTGAATTATAATCTGTAATCAGTGGAATTTAAGAACATTAGTCAATCTTTGTATACTGTCAAAATATTTGTTCTTGTACAGTATGTGAGGTAAGACTTTTTTTTTTTTTTTTCATTTTCCAGTTGAAAAAGAGGTTGAGTATTCCAGATGCATGCTTGGTGATCAAAGAGAAAGTGCTCTGGCTTTTCCTTGAGCACCAAAAAGCCATTTTATATTTGTAAGAATGGCAGATATTGCCAGGATTTCATTGCAAATTTCTACAGTGATTTCTTAAGAGAAGCAAAATGTTTCTGTTCACTCATTTCTAATATAAAGATGAAATTTATCTATGTCACGTGGATATGGGGAAGTGTAATGTTGTGACACATTATGCTTTCATGCTAAATGTACTTTTATACTGTGTTACTATTTATGTGGTAATTTGTTGCCTCTGCACTAAAATACTTTGCAATTTTAGAGTTTGTATTCAATATTTTTCAGACTCAAAACTAAGATTTTTTTCAGGGTGTATCAGCACTTTGCACAGACTCTTTAGCTGCCGTACATGTATTAAATTGTTCATATGCATGTTCATGGCAGACTGAAAAATATGTTAGAAAATTTTAGAAGAAAGGATTGAATTTTCTTGTGGTGTTAGGGAAGTTCTAACAGATGTACCGACATTTATGCATATTTTATATATCTGTTTACTCTGCCATTCACCAGGAGAATATAGTTACAGTACATTAGCAACTGCCACATCACCTGGTGTAGCTATAACCTACCGGCAAACATTTCAAGAAAAGTCCCTGAAAAATACTGAAAAATACAGAAGAATTATCACAACATGCAACATCTTATTTGTGTCTATAAATACACAAGCAAAAGTCTTGTTCTTCTACTACAAGAGAATATACTTAGAAAAGGAACTGCCTAAAGGCCTGCATCAAACTATAAATGTAAAAATGAGGATAGGGCTTGATATTTTGTTTGACAACTCCTATGCGTTTGATATTAGACACCTGCTCAGTTCTTGAAAAGAAACTGTCTTAAGAGACAGGGTGGAAACAGAATCAGCCTTCTGTATTTTTTCAAGATCATATCCTTTTATCTTTAATGGGAGATTCTTAACACGTTTCTCAGCCATCTGACAAATAATACTAACAAAATAATGTAGAATTCCTGAACATGGGAGATCCAAGCAGGAACCCCAGCTCTATAGCTAAAAGAAAGCAGATTACTGATTTACATGGGAGCTGTGTCTGCATTTGTGTGGACATTTTGTTTCATTAAAAATTGTGGGTTTGTTCTGATTTTCAGAAAATAAATGAGTAGATTTAATTGTATTTATTTATATTAAGATATGTGTCATCTGCATAGTGTTTGTACTTACAGTGCGGAACCTGAGGTGGCCTCTGGCAATGCAGGGCCACTGCTTTAAAATATCTTCTCCAGGACAGTCTGCATACAGGGAGATGGAACCGAGGCTGCATGGCTTTGCCAGCTCTCCTGAAGCATGGCTGTCTGGGATTTGGTTGAGCAAGTTGCAAGGCAGTCAGAATTTGTATAGTGGAGCAGGTGGTTAAGTCAGTTTTAAAAGTGCTTTTAAATTACACTGAAGATCCAAAATCTAGATTCCAGCCTGCGTCTGACCTGTGTTTGCCGTAGCTTCAGAGAGAGGAACTGCAAAAGCAGCTGTGGGTTCAGGCTAAATGTGAAGGACCGAGTAAAGCACTTGGCAGCTGCCCAGGTAAGGCTCCTTTCAGCCATCATGTGTCCTGGAGATTGAGAACGGAAGTAATGGAAGCCTTTTCAGAAGGAAAATCTACCCCAATTGGATCCAAGCTATGCCTGCCTTTCATCTATAGTTTGGTTTAACACAGCTGCTGCACAAGTAAGAATGCAGGTTTCAGTATGTTTATTGTATGTGTAGTGCAGCAAGTACATAAGAGAAGTCTGCAGAAGAAGGTTAATTGTAGTTAATGCAAAGACTTCAAGCAGCTGGATAAAAAGATGATAATATTTTAGCATTTCCCTGTACTTTCCATAAAATAAAACTTTAATTTTTAGCCCAGCTTTGGTACCCTTCACTTTGGAGGTGTTTCGAGTTCATAGGAGCTCTGTGACCCAAGAACTTGCATGCTGTAATGCTGCAAAAGGCAAGTTCAATTCTTCTTAGCAAACTAAAACAAGGAGGAAAATGTTAAGAGGTTAAAAAAATCAGAAAGTCTTCTTAGATTTAATTTCTTTGATATCTTTAGGAAAAAAAGCACAGCAGTGTATAATCCTTCATCTTCATGATGTAGCCCATGTGAACATTCCCTTTCAGTTCACGTTCATCGTGTTACTTCTGAAAATATTTCCAGTGCTGCAGTGTAGGTAAATATTGCTATTAACAGTAAAGAGGATAATAGATATGCTAAGCATAGACCATCTACCTTAACTTTGAATTTTGTAGCTTTTGATATGATGTTTATAACGTTCTTATCATGTTGCTGTGTGAGCATCCTGCAACAACTATAAGTTCATGTTCATTTCTTGTTGAAAATATTTAATGAAAATCTACACAAAGCACATTGTTTAGCCAGGAGATCAGAATATTTTCCTTTTCATCAGTTGTATTCTCTTGGGTCCCTCAGTCTCAAATCCCTCTCGAGAGAAGGAACACCAGAGGGTTTCGATTTGTGTTAATTATTTGAGACTTTCAAAAACCTCTCTTATTTACTTGGTAAATGCATGTTTTCCTAAGTGTTTTTAAATTATTATTTTTATTATCATTGTTTTAATATTTTAATTATTCCTACAATTATTCCCACCATAGGTTCTCTCATTACTATGTGTCTGGGTGCTATTGGTTTCCTAAAGCAAATGTTTGTTCTTTTTTTAATTTCTCTTTTAAATGAAAGAGCGCACGTTTTAGTCCTAATTCAGGCATTTGGCTCTTTTGAAGCACAGGAGAGTAGTCAGCCAGTTGGATTACTCACATGGCCACAGGCAGGTCTGCCATGCTCTTGCCATCTCTGCTTCAGTCTTGTTCTAGTGTGGTTATGCCGGTTCCAAATCGCTGTTGGCCTGTGTCCAGTTGTGTGGCTCCACAGACAGGCACAGCTGGGCTGCAGCTGTCCACACAACTACTTACACTTGTCCTAAGTCACATCTTAGCTATACAGCATCCACTGCTGCCTGAACTGCTAAGATTCGATATTGGCCCATCTGCAATATTTGACATAATGTCAAAAATAGATCTTGTCATGCCTTGACTGCCTTTTAGGCTTGCCTGAGTGACAGTTATGGCAGTACATTGGCAATACATTTGACAGAAAGAGGGAAGACTTCTAAGGAAAACATGATTTCAAACTGAGCACTTTGTGGCCATATGCAACACAAGCCAGGTAGTAAAAATAAGCGCTCCTTTCTTGAGTCTAGAGCTAATGTTTAGATGTGACTATAACAGAAACTCTTGTTCACTCTATTTCTTTTCTAATCTTGCTCCTAGAGGTCACAGGATTCCCTCTTGCCATATGACTAGGGATATACTGACACAATTTGTGTGTGTGTTTCAGTATGCACAGGTACCTTCCGCAGATTCCCTCTTTATTTTGATTTTTGAGTTTGGTTGCAGTCTCTTCTGGCACTATGCAAGAAAAAGGTTCTGTTGATTGTACAAATCTTGCTGCATGTTCTTGAGCATCATTTTTTGGTTTCTAATCTAAGAACTTACATTTGTTCAGTTCTTTTATTGAATTTGTCTAACAAATGTTTCAAGCATTTTTCATCTTGCTAGCAAAAAGGTGTTTGTGAATTGTAGAAATAAATGTATTTTAAGAACTTCTAAACAAAAATACCATTAAACAGAAACTGATTCTGTAAGCAGATCTACCACAAAGTATCTGAAAACTAGCAGTAGCTGTGCAACAGGCCCCTAATAAGGACCTCCGAGATGGCATAAGCATGCCTCTTCTAGACATTCACTTGCACTTTTGTAAGCCCCAGGTCATTTTTTCGCTGCATTACAGAAATATTCTGCTGCCTCTCTAAACAAGCTGGTCGTCTTCTAAAAACATATTGGCCTTTTAGGCTCCTGGACAGTTAGCACTGTACTAACTAGTTTACCCTAATATAGCCAATATCTCCATGCTGGTATGGCAGTGTGGACTTATGCCTTATATATCAGTAGAAAAACTTTGTTCTGTTCATCATCTTTGTTCTGTTATGTTAATGTAGAATCCTGCAGCTGGGGAATGTTTGAAAGTTTCTGAATTTACTAAGACATCTATTTCCTATGGTTTCTATTGACTTAATTAATTTAGTGACTAATTCCCTCTACTCTAACCCACAGCAACACAAAGAAACATGTTTCTAAGAATACCTGGGAGAGTCCCAAGCTAGTCAAAGGACTAGCTTTTTCATATTCTGTCTCTAAAACAATTTAGAATGTTTTCATAGCAATAGTATCAAACCTTCCTTCAGCTTATTTGTGCTGTAGTAAATATTATAGTCTACTCTTGAAGTTAACTGAAATTGTTAATTTTACCCTCTTTGGTCTTTCGTATATAACCACAAAAGTGATAGCCGCAGCAGAACTTTCTCCCTAATACTTAGCTGTCTCAGAAACCAATTTCTATAAAAAATGGTGTCTGTACATTAATGCTATTATTAATTTACAAATTATAGAGAACGGCAAGACTATAAAAATATGTATATTTTCAGCTACTTTTATAAACAGTATCCAAGTTCAATTCATAATTATGATTGTTATCATGAGGTTTATTAATCCTTGTCTGTTTAAAAACACTTGCAAATATCTGTAGTTTTTCAAATTTTGGTGTGGAGTAGTTTGTCCAAAAACAGCATATGAGTGTGAATTTCTGTTAGCTAGCTGCCACTGTGAAATGTTAAAAACTAAAGTGCGACCAATTAGAAAGAAAGAAAAGAAAAAAAAAATTCAAACTCTAGGGACATTTCTTGATAGCAAAATCCAGACAAACTCATCTTGTTTAGTTGTGCTTGTGACCCTTTGCTTCTTGGTATTTGCCAACATTGGTTCTTGGGGAGTTGTATGGTAGGCTACATCAGAAAATCTACCCAGCTGAAATGCCCTCTTTTTCCTTCCCCCAGCTTGTCTTTATTAATAAGCCCTTCACTTTTTCCTTCCTGTTGCAGTTCTTGCCTTTGTTACCCATAAATTCCATAATCCCCACTCTCCTCTTTTATACTTCCCTGTCTCTTCAGACAGATCAGCTCCCTGATCTTGTTTGCTGCATAGCTCTGCCAGCATAACATTGGCTTGGAGGGAGAATGAGCAGCTGGAATGGGAAACATCAAGCCATTGAGGCATGCTGCTGCCTAGTATGAAACCACAGCCATAGGTGACTCTACGTAAATAGAAAATTCCCCCTAATTAGCTATTTTGAACCAACAATATGCCAAGAATTTCCCAAACAAAATCATAAGTGCTAATAAACTGTGAATATGTGACAGACTTCAGGATCTTTTTGAAAGTTACCTGTGAAGGGGAAAAAATGAGAGAAATTAACAAGAGTTATTCACAATGAATTATTTGATCCTCTGTGGTCATGGCTATTTATACACTGCAATCACTAAAGGAAATGAAAAACATTTTGTGTTCCTTTTCCAAGTGCATGGACTGTGTATCCTGCTTGCTAAAATGTAAAACTAAAAATCCCAAACTGTTGCAGATTAAAAGGATTTGCTGGTTTAGTAGTTGAGCAAGTGCTACAGGAATGACGAACATTGTGAAATACCATCGCTTGTTTTTGTAACAGCTGCTCAAGATATTGCCTAAAGGTTTGGAGTTCTAGTGAGCCTGGAAGTACTTAATGGAGAGTAAGAGGAGAAAGAAAAACAAAAAGGAAAAAAGGAAAAAGGTGTTTGGAAATTTATTGGGTATTGACACCTGGTCTATTGATCTCTTAGAAAGGGTGGAGAAGATGGATATAGCAAAGTCGTTTATAAAAAGAAGGGTAATGTTTTTCTTTCACAGCATATGAATGCTGCCAAAAAATGAAAATCTGTCAAACACAGCTGGTCTCCCTAGACAGTTTGGGAGTGCCACCAGAGGTACAGCTTGTTTTGCTTTAGAAGATTGTATAACTCAGGAAAACATGGATTTGTAAATATGTCTTTTTCTTATGATTTTGTGATTTTAGAATTTTCGTAGTTTCTTTTCTGTAGTCTGATATCTGACTATACCTGTCTCCCTAGTTTCTTCCAATAGTCTCTTCCAGTAATCTCTGCCAACTAAAATTTTTCTCTCCATATTCATAAATTTCTTTAATCTCTTCTATACTTCGCTGTCTCTTCAGCTGTCCTTAAACAGGGAAACCATGTTCATGGAGACTGGCATAATTTCCTCCAAGAGCAATAATGGAGCAGAGAAGATAGGTTTCCATTGTTCAGAAACATTAGGAAGTGGTGGGCATCCTGGATGAGGTTACTATGTAATGAGCTTTTGAATATATTGGAACACTATAGTCACACTCTCTGAGAGAGAAGAAATCTCATCTTTCTGATCTTTCCCTTGTTATTACCAACAGCATGAGGAAAAAGTGCCCTAACCCCCCAAATACTTTTGCTTTGAAGAGGCTACATATGACACCATCATTATTTGCTTTGCTTGTGCCTGAACCTTCTCTAAGGACTACACAGATAGACTTATGTAGCAAAATTAAACAATTTGAAGACTTTTTCTATACTCACTTGTTTTTCCCCCAAAGAGGAACTTCCTCAGACTCAACTAATAGAACCAAAAAAAAAAAAAAAAAGCCAACAACAACAAAAAAATGTATTTTATTTTCTGTCCCTTAATTCTCTGTCTGATTAATCTGGAAATGGGAAGCTCATTGCCACTTTGCTGTCCAGTATTAACTAGCATGAAGATGGTAAGAAAGTGAGTTGAGTGAGGGCTGCAGCTGAGCTGAATAACATAACGCAACTACTTGTACTGTTCATTAGCCTTCTTGGTGCAAAGGTGGTTTTTGCCAAAATGGTATGTATCTTTTAATCTTATTTCACAGAAATATGGGAAGAAAGATAAAAGACTTCTGTGTAACTGAACTGCTTCATAGATGGAAGAGTCCTGAAGAATTGTCCTAAAACTATGTTCACTGGCTCTATCACATCTTAAATTGTATTACAGGAAATTCATCTTGGTCAAGTTGGTATACGTCTGTTACATAGGTAAGTTAGGTCTGAGTGCACATAACTGACTATGGGGGCATTGCTCATTTTCATGTCTCATATAAACACTTCTCATTTTCTCCTCCCTTCAAATGCAGAAACCTTTGAAAAAATAAAATCAGTTTTCACCCACCCTTCGGTTCTTGTGATTCTAGCTAATACCTCATCTCAATCAGTGTGTTGCTGTAATGGAAGAATTATTTAGACTGAAAACTCCCTCTGCTATCAGAAAGAGACTGCAAATCTGACACCACACTTCCTGCATTTGTTGGTGCAGAGAGAAGATTCCATAGTGGTCACCGTTATGTGGGAGGAGGAAGAATTGTAGTGATGAAATGTGAGTGATGGGACTGTAGTGAGGTACAGCCAGCTATTTTATTCTGGCTGGCAGACTGGAGAGGCAGCCTCTCTGAGTACATCTATGATGAAACAGGATGTTTCTCAGCGTGGGGAGGAGTGGATTAAAGTACAGGTGGAAGTATGGTAAGAGGGAATTATGTGGCATGAGATAAGATCTACTGTATGCAGAAGATACAGAGTGAGTCAGAGTTTGGCTGTTACATGGATATATATGGGATAGGAGCAATATAAGCTCTTGGATTTCATAGAAGCTTTGAGTAAAGCAGTTAAGTTAAGTAAGAGCATTTAAGGCATCTAGGATGTGAAGTGAGAAAGCCAGAGATAGTGAAAATGTAGTGTGGTTACATGGGAAGATAAGAAGCATCCTGAAAAGCATGAAGTATGAAGGAGAGAAAATGAGCATGCCCGTCAGCTACATTGTATATGGAGAGAGAACAAGGATGGCTTTAGAACAAAGGGGCTAACTGAGGAACAGTGAGCAGAGGAAAGGTTGTAAATAATCAGCATCCATGTCATGTGGTGTTGGACCAGGGAACCAGGTGTGCCCTATGGTTGAACAGAATGAGACAGTGTTTTTATACCTGCTGAGGAATAGTATGGAAACCATCTGAAGCTGGAGCAGAAAGTTTATTCAGCATTTTCCTCATGAAGAATTAGTGTCATTGCCGTAGCTGCATTCTTGTTGCATCACTCTACCTCATTGTATATTATCCCAAATTGCAGATAACCAACGATCTCCGTTGTGATTGATTTACACATTAGACATTTACTCTGCTTATATTCCTATTCTAAAATATGCAACAACATTGTTCCTGGCCAGCTGCAAGACTTGGTGAAAATTTCAGTGCTTGGATGTGCTGATTTCTGTTTCTTGTATCAGCCTTCTTAGGTAGTGGCAGGAAGCAGAATCTCCAAAACCTATCAAAGCTATCACTCTTCTAGTTCAAATGTTGACAGGTCTTGGTAAAGCACCCTTTGAACATGTCTGTTCTCTGTCACTGCCATGAGTGTAATGCATGAATCCAAAATCACAATGATTTTAGAAGCAGACAGCATGAGCTGCAAAAGCCTGATGCTGTTAACACTTCCTTGGATAAGTATTTTAAAAGGGATACTTTTGTGCTAGCGTTTTTGAGGGTATTTCATGTTTGTGATCCTGATTCTCATTTCTTTTGAATGTCTTGATTCTTATCTTGATTCTTCAAATATTCTTCATTTTTCTTGTGGCTTACTCAGTGTACTTGCTTAAGTTTTCAAGCCTTTTGCTAAAGATGCTGCCACAGCGTGTCTAGATATCCAATAATGTGATCAATCGCTTCTCAGTTTCCACTGAGCTGAATGCCAAAGTCACAACAGATGTTGTCTGAAGGAAAGCAATGCCATTTATTATCACACTGGATGTTAAAGATAGAACCATATTCATTGTAAGAATCTGATGAAGAAGCTCTTGAATGCAAATGCTGTCCTGTAAAAAAACTGTGCTAGAAGCCGTTGACAATGGTAAGTAATTACTGATTAGACTGTGTAGTAACTTACCTTTGAAGTGAAAGGTAAACCAAAAATAATGTTGATTTTGCATTCTTCTGGCACTCTGTACACTGTTCTTTATAGGCATATTACAAAAATCTGTGCTGTTATTTTACTCGTACTTCTGAGTATTTGTAGTTTACTGACTTTCACCATTTCTTACTATGGTGAAAAGAAATTGATAGCTCATGAACAACCAAAGGAAGTGAGTTCCTGTTTGGCTGAGGAAGCAAGATTCTGTCATTCACTGTCTCACAGGGTGGGTTTTTCAAACTAGGCCCAGTGATCTATCACAGTAGGTTAGTAAATACAAATACTTACATATTAGAACTTAATAAACAGGAATAATGTCTAATCACGACAAAGCTGCATTTTTTGAGTTTCCAGAGTTCTGTGTAACTTGTTTCTGATATTGCTGAGCTCTTGTTCCCTGTAGCTGGATGTATTCAGTGTGAACATGCTAATGATCAGATTTAGTTCACCCAGTTTTTGGAAAGAGGGCAAAATTAATTTAACTTTGAATTTTCAGAGCACATTGCTTCAGGTACTGGGATAATTTTGCTCTGTAGGCAGTATACTCCTAGGACAATTTTGTTGAAAGGAGCTGAAATTTGCCTGGAAGTTTAAAGGATCTTTTACACTACTGTCCATTCCATTCTGAAGCTTTAAAGCATTTTCATTGTGGCTGTCTGTCAAGGCACCAAGTTTGAAATTCATCCTGGCCACAGCAAGAAGCAAGCTAATGTCTATATTAAATTATTTAACATCGTGGATTTATTGGTAATAGCACTGCCATTGTTACTAAAATGTTACTGTTGAATCCAAGTATCTATTGCATTACAGGTTCTGCATAGAGAATATTTCTCTCTTCATGTATAATGCTGACTTTTCACAAACAGGATTGAAGGAAGTATAGTGGCATTTCTTTGCCATTTTCTCTAAATTGCCTTAAAATTTAAATTAGATTGAATGTAAGCATGAAAAGAGTATCAATAGCATGTAAGCTTCTGGTGGGTAAGCAAATCTGGATATTCGGTTATGTTCAGGTGCTTACCTCTTACAAGATGATGGCATAAGTCAATTTTCAGTTCCTTTGATAGAGTAATGTTTCCCTAATGGAACTATGGAACAACATTAGACAGATTTCTCAACACCTCCCAGAAGGCTGTATAAAACATAGTTTCCAGCGATAGTCTCCTCCAGTTTTTAATACTATCTCTTTTTCTGTAGTAATCATAATCCATGTACAGTGTTTTCTCCTCTTTACAGACTGATAATGAGTGAATGTTCATGTGGTCTGTTACACAACACTAAGCTCTTATTTCACTGTCTGCAGTTATGTTCAGTAAGTACAATATGAACATCATCTCAATTAACAGAGTACCTTTAGGGCTTTTCTTAGCCAACTATTCTAGCACGCTTGTCCATACTGTCATCAGCACCTAATCAACTAATGATGGCTGAAAATGAGGAAGGCCAATCCCAATAAATCCGAAGGATAGTAATTTTTCTCTTTTAATGCCCTTCTCCCTCCTTCTTCCTTCTTCCTACGGCACATTGCAGTAAATTAATGTCATAGTGGTTATTACAGTAGCGCTGCTATGGCAAGTATTCAAGCAACGATTCTCAAATATTTTACCTCAGCATTTATTTGTCCATAAAATAAAATAAGATTTATTACAGTACTCTCTGGTTTGAGGACTGCATGGACAGCAGCTGTGACAAGTCCTTATCTCCAGTACAGGTAAAGATATAGGGATGTTTCCCTGAAGCTAAGGAGAAACAAAAAATACAGAAGTCAGTCAACAAGGCAATGTTACACACAAATTGACAAAATAAATAAATGTAAGCATGAAAAAAACCTTTTTATCTTACATGAGGCCTAAGAAAAATCGTTTAGTAATTTTGTCCTTGAAAGTTCTCTGTAAATTAAAGGGATATTCATTGCTTTGGAGATTGTTGTGTCCAAATCAGATATAGGATTTTGAGGCTGAAAGATGGAAAGATAAATGTGAGGAATTATTGTTGCAAACCCTATTCAGAGAGGGCATAGGAGAAGGAATTACAAATAGAAAAAAAGATCTTTGTCAATAAAATTTAACAGAGGCTTATGGTGAGTGTTGTTCAATTAAAAAACAAATGGTTTTGACTGTTTGAAAGGCTTCACCTTGCAGAAAATGCTCCCAGATTACAACACATTAGTTCTGAAGCCAACCCTGTGGCGATATGACCGCTGGCATAGAGATATTCATATTTTCAGCTATATGTAAATTTCTGTGTGTCATTAACATCTCTGAGTTCTGTAATTAGGTCTCTCCTGATCTGGATATAGTTTCTGTACATTATGAGCATGTACCCCTCTCTAGGGAAGAAGGCCAGCCTTACAGGGTTTTCCCTTTCTTTTCTACAGTTTTGCTCTTATCTTTAGCAAGGGCATGCTAGCAACTGCTTCTTCAAGGTTACAGTGAGATTCCTGGTGGCAAGTGTGAAAGGCTATAAAGCATTATCAATATTTGGCAGCACAAGTCTCTACCAGTGTGCCATAGTTGGAGCAGCTCCTTCCTGTATAGACAGTATTTTTCTCTACCTGGCACTCCTCATTTTAAATAAATTCTCGCAGTACTTGCATTCCACAAATTGCTCTCCAATTTCCAATTGTAGTTATGATTTTATTTTTGCATCTGTTTTTTAGTAGAAGAAACAGATATTCTTACAATGCAAAACAGCTATGTAAAAACTTAGAATGTCCGTTTCTGAATAAATATTATTTAATTAAATGAAACGTGACATACAAATGAAAATGTTTTTCCTTCTGTTCTTCTCTTCAGTAGTAAGCTTCAGAGAGCGCAACTACAAAGAGAAAAGTGGATTATTAAAGGATGTCTGCATTTGGGTTAGCTTGTTCAGAAGGCCTTTTCTTGCAGCGTTACACCCAAGAAATGCTGCCCTCAGTATAAGCAGGTTCTTGTTCTATGGCCTGACTATTTTCTGATTTTTACTGAATGTGGTTTCTGCTTGGGTATAACAGAATATTGGATAATGAAGATAGAAAACCAATAAAGAGAAAAAAAAAATGTACAGAATCGCTTAGAAAGAATTCTGTGTGTAATTACTTGCATTTTTGCTAACTACTGTATAAACAACACTTTTAACAAGGCAAATTGGAAACTTGAAGACAAATCTGCTTTGGGATATAGCTTCAATTTATTACACAATGATAACTGAAAACTTTGTTTCTGCTGCGTTGCAGTCAATTTCCACTGAGCTCACATTCTGAATGTGTGATTAATCATATGAGCACCCGGGTTGCCAATAAATACCAAAACCTTAAAACTATAACAACTTGCTCATTTTGTGCGGTCATTCCAAATAGCTAAACAACCAGAAATTGTCAATGTACACCAAGATCAATGCTCCAGGGTCTCTACATAAGATTGATTTCACTCTCTGAGGATTTCATCTCTCTCATCAACAAAAACATTTTGTCCTCCCTAAATAATCCAATCGAATGCCATCCTCCTGTGGAACAGTGAAAGGTTTAAATTGTTTGGATTAATCTCTGCTTTGAGGTGGCCTGGAAAGTCTCTGCAACTTTGTCAAACATAGCCTGGAGGGAGAACTGCTGGGCTTTGATATGTGCTAAAAATAAACAAATAAGAACAGAGTATAATAATCATGTTGTGCTTTAAATATAGCATATTTGGGAGAAAATGCATTTAAAATTCCTGCTTTGAATGCAGGAAATATATAATTGTTGGTGTATTTCTTATTTCTAAGGGCCTTCAAACTCCTCTCTCTTGGAGATGGGAAAAGATGATGGAAGTTGTATGGACAGATTCAGAGGGAGAGGATAAGGGACCAGGAGAAGCCCACAGAGATCTTTCCTAAAGGATGAGTGCGATGAAACTGAAGGAATTAACACCCACTGCCTTCTCCCTTCTTTGGACAGTGAATACACAGGTAAGGTGTAATGGAAATTTGCAGATTAGCTCAGATTCTCTGCCTAAATCTCCTTCAGAGGATAATTTTTCACGTTTGTATTTGGGAAAGACCAAGCAAAACTGTTGGTTCAGCAGGAGCTTTGCAGGCAGTAGGATAGGTTACAAACAGACAATATGACAAAGACCACAGATAACTGCATTCCATAATTCTTGTCCATTATGCAAAACAGCCCTTCCCAATCTGCATAAATCATTGTAAACTGGATGAATGGTGATTTTATGATCTTTATCCAACGTTTTTTGGAAGGAAGGAACCAGGATCTTAATTAATTCAGTTTGCTATAATTGGGGTTCAGTAAGAAGATCAAATTCTATCCCAAGTGCATTTGAAGTTGCCTAATTTCTTTTCCAAGAAGGTTCATCTGGAGGTGTTGGCTAAGAGCTTTGGTGACTTGGACCCACTGTCCCCACAGCAAAGGATGAGGGTCAAACTCCACATCAACTGTGGACATTGAAAACATTTGGAGGCATCAGTCTCCAGGCATGTGAGCAGGCAGGTCCATCTGGTAAACTGTAATTCCTGGAATTTTGTGCTTCATTTCCAAAACAGGTAGATTAGTGTCAATATTAGTAGACTTTCAGGATTGGGATGAACAATTGGTGTTTAAATAACTAAATGATTACTATATGAAGGCCACACAAGCCAAGCATGATTTGCTTCTGTCTTGGACTGATACTAGCTCAGAAATGTTGAAAGATCTGAAATCCTATGTAATATAGACTCCGTAAGTGGAATAGTTTTGAATTAGGTAAGGTTATCTTGGTGTCAAAGATCAACATCAAAACAGTAAATTAATTGTTCTTGAAGGAACTGAATATTTATAAACAGACAAATAACAGATTGCTCTGTAAATTTAAATATCCTTACAGTATCTATGGTCTTAGCTTTGCTTTGCATGAAGTGTAAACTCTTCTGCTGCAAATATTTCTCTTTTGTAGATCTGTACAACAAATCTTACCAATGTTATTGTATGTATCATATCAGTATGCATTCACTTAGAACCCAAAAAATATTTTCAGTTAGTTGAGGCATTAAGTATTCCTTCGTAAGCATTGAAAAGATGGGAGTTACTTGGAAAAGAAATGACTGAAGGAAGAAGATTATCACTTTATTCTACAGTAACCTAAAAATAGATTTGAAGGGGCATGCCTACCACTCTCAGGAGTACATATGGATTTCTTGCTGACATTAGATTCTCCAAATTGAATGTCAGACTTGCCAAGAAAGTGGGGGTAGGGAGGAAGGAAGCAAAACTGTTGTTATTATTAGAAGGGCAAGACGAAGCATCATGATTACCATTAGAAAAACCTGTAAAACATATTTGTATGTTATCCTGGAGCAGAAAGAAGTGTCACGTGTGAACAGTGGTTAGGCAAAAATACTGTGATATATTCTTATATCCCAAGAGCCTATCTGCTATCTGCTTAACAAGCAGATCTTGTAGAGTGTGCACACACGCCAGAAATTTACAATTTTCCTTTTTACAATTCCTTTTTACAAATTTACAATTTGAAATAAGTATTTTCAAGGTTCTCACATACCAAAGAACAAAACGAAGCATTGCTTGTATTTGTCACTAAATGGCAAAGCCTGGAAGTCCACTTACAGATTTATGAAGCAGATATATAATGATTTAATAAGCAGATACATAACATGGAAAGTTAAGTTTATTCATATGAAGTCATGTGAAGGTTTTTGTCATGTGAATGACAAAAAAAATCTCCAAATAGCCACAGGATGCTGGTAGTAAAAGCGCCTTACAGTTGTCAGACCTGTCTTGAGCAGTAAAAACTAGTGAAGAAAGAGATGTACATTTATCATCTCTCCTCATTCTTTTTTACTTTGGGTTAAGTAAGTCTCAGATAATGCAACAATATAGGCATACAACAAAGCTTAAGCTAGGAGATGAGCAATTATGTATATAAATCTAAATAAAAATATTATATAAACATCCACGTATGAGTAATGTTATAACTTCATTAAGAACAAAGTAAAATCGATTGGGAAAAAAAAATTTGGGAAAATTTGAAATACCTTGTTACAGCTAATAAGACAAAGTAAGACAGAGAAAATGTCTATGAGGTACTAGAAAATTGACAGGAATGAGTGGAAAATCATAGTACCAGCACCAAACAACCTGGAAATGCTACTTACATGAGATAAAACACAATTTGAGACTACTTGACTGTCAAAGAGCACATGCAAGAGTTGGGCATGTATATGTGTGATTAGAGAGTCAGGATCTAAGAACCAAGTGTTTGGCTTTACTTTTTAATCATGCAAAAATTTATTTTAGGAAATAAATTTTCGAAAGGCAAACTCAAGAATGCTAATTGTTGAGAGTTCCTTTATTTACTCCAGTGCGTTAAAAGATGAATAGTCAATGGTTTCATATGTTTATAATCAATCCCATCCAATGAGAAATATCGTGGAAAAGAAGAGGAGCCCATTGGTCTTGTGCCACTTGGCCATGTAGCCAAAACCAAGGCATATTGTGGGAAGGCTCAAGGAAGCAAGGAGTGGCATCCCTGCAACTGTGGTAGTTGGAAATGAATTTGTGCTTGCATGTTCTTGATGGGCATCTGGAAAAGTAGAGTAGAACAGTGTTTGCATTTAGTCCTATTTGAGCTCAGCAACCACTGTGTAGGTGGCAAAGGGAGGGTGTGGTCACACTGGTTGCTGTTCAGATTTGCACAGATGGCAGAATCCAACTAAACGAAGGTGATCTGTGTGTACTGAGCTCTGACAGCAGCCTCCTCAGAGACTGGTAGTGCTTTACCCTTCTCCAGAGGTGAGCATGTGTGAACTAAATGAAGGAGGCTGTCCTATACATGAGGAGTGGCAGTATGGCATGTTTCACCAGGGGTTGCCTTTTAGTCTCCTCCCCTTCCAGGGTAACATTTCTCCCTGTCAGGTCTCTTTGGCCTTACCAAGTATCCATGTGGCTGCCTTTCCTTATGCTGAAACAAAGACTGGTTGCAGTCTGTCCATAAATAAATGACACACAGGGGATCACAGGCAGGAATGAAAATCCTAATGTGTGGAGCCAATATCTGGAAGTGCTTTTCTTAAGTCTCCTCACTTATGTAAGTAGTTCAATTAATTTGAGAATGAGCTGTGAAAATTTGACTGCATTTCTTGTGTAAGTATATCCTTAGACCCTCCCACTTGCTATGTTCTTGCAGTTCCTAGTATACCATTCTTAAGCAATGACTTTGGCTTTCTCTTCCTGAGGTTACATTCCTTTTTGGAAAATCGCTTAAGACTTCATGTTCATTGTGGTTAAGCTGAGAAGCAGATAAATGCATAAGCTAATGTCCCAATCAGCAGCTGCTTTATGACTGTACTCCATTTATCACATTTGTCCATAATGTTATTCTGTTCATTTTCCGGTATGGAAAGTAGCAAAGAGAGGCCCTCATCCTACATTTGTCCATATGGGCTCCATAGCCTGCGCTGGGATTTTGTTATTTCAGTAACGTTGCCAAGTACTATAAACAGCCAAAGCATTTTGTGTGTGACATTTTTTCAGAACTTCAGACTTTAGGTGCCTGCTTTTTTGTGTGTTTTTTCCTTATCCATGGCAATTTCTTATATAGTTAGCAGTTCAAACCTTGAAAATACAGACCCTATGTCTGAGGAATGCAGTGAATTTTTTGTATCTCAGGGTGATAGTAGAGATTTGCATCGGAGTTAGGAATTTTTCTGTTACCTTTCTGTATTTCAGTGCTTGCTCTGTATCTGTGGCATTGTACATTAAAGTTAGGAAAACACAGTAACACTTTAAATTAAGGTGATCTTTATGAATATTTTATTATTTGTACAGCATTCAATAACATGCTTGTAAAAATCTTGAAAGTATGTGTTGAAATAACAGACAAACTATTTGAACAATGCATACATCTTAAAATACTGTTGTAACAGCTTATCACCTTGCTGTGGCAGCATTTTAAGCATTTATTGATGATGCATTTTATAACTTGCCTCACAATAAGTTATTAAAGGATGTAGTGGCACCAACTAATCATTTCATAAACATGAATAAACCATTTATACGGGGCACCTACATTTAAAGTGCCTGTAGAAACTTGCATAAAATGTTTGGAACAGCTGACATGCAGTATTGGTGCTTCTCGTAGTGCCAAAGCAGTGTCACGTCTTGGTGCACATTGACTCCTCTGTGGAGCTGGAGTGTTATTGCTGCCAGAGATAGAGCAGGGGGCTGCACAGAAATTCCAAACACGAAATGCTGGAAATCTCTTCCAGAAGAGAACATGAGGGAATGCATATGCAACATCCTGGAGATTTTGGTGGCCACTAGTAGTATTTTTTCGTACCTGTTCTTAACTACAACACAGCCTGTGTGTAGGAAAATGCTGTTCAGATACAAGGTACATGTTTAGCACCTTGTGAAGCAATTAAAGATCATGCATGATAATAAAAATCCAGTCACCAAATACTTAGTCTTAATATGCTAAAGTATTTATACCATATAAATATAACTTTGAGATACATGGGTAAATATTAAGAAATAAATTCGTATGCAATTACCAAAATCATTCTAAAAATTAGAAAAATGTCAGGTAATTAAAAATTACATGAGAAACTGCTGCAATTCTTACTGTTAGCTATGATTTACTGGGAGCATTTAAAGAAACGTTAAAAAAAAAAAAAGTGATATTTTATTCCCCTCTCCCTGCAGATATAGATTTTATTTGACCTATTGCTTTTAAAACAGAATGGCTTAAAAAAAGCACTCCTTACATGATGAAACTCAAAGACAAAAGAGAGAATGCAAATCATTTCTATATTACATATATGTTGCTCCATTTGGCAAAATCAAATTAGATCTTTTCATCTCCTTACTGTAGAACAAAAACAGAGCAATATTATGAAATTTTGCAGGGCTTTATTTCTACGTGTCTTTTGTGTCCAGTCTTTTAAACTCAGGTTTTTCT